CTTTGATGCGTGGAATCATCCCAACTAAAAGTTAATAAATATCACTGATAAATAAATCAGCAGTTGTATAGCCAGAAGCTTGAGCATGATAAGTTCTTATGTCAAGGACATCTATATATATATAATTGCTAGCTAATCTTATTTAATAAAACATTTAATAAAAATATTTTCACTTTCCCTCCAAAATGAGTTACATTTTTTTAATTAATTACTCATTAATCTCACATTTAAGAAAGTTTCTTATAATTAAATTTAATTAGTCAATGACTAAATTAAAAAGATTTATTTTAATTAATCTCACATTTATGTTAAGTATAGTATTATCTTAATATCTTATCAGTTTTTCAAAAAAATAGTAACTTTTTTCAATAAATTTTATAAAAATTAGTTAAATGTACTTATATTCATATAAATCAGAAAAAAAAAATTAAATCTTAGATATATAAAAAGAACATCGTTGAAATAACTTGAATCCGCAAGGGTAATTCTATACTCATTATCAATTACTTTAAATTTTTTGTTTATATAAAAAATTAATATTATATTTACTCATTTATATTTAGATGGTATTTTTTTTATTAAGAAGCAAGGACAATCTCTATCAATCAATAAGAGTCAAAGACAAACAATATAAAGAAGTGTTTCCTATGCTATGACATGATCAATAAGAGTCAAAGACAGTCTCTGTCGCACGTCGGCTTACTACTGAAGAGCTCTGCATTTAGTCATGAGCAATTATACGTGGCGCTTTTTAGAGTTACAAGTCAGTGGGGTTTGAAGATTTTGATTTGAGCTGAGGGAGATTTTGATGATAAAAAAACCACGGCGTTGTTTTATAAAGAAGTGTTTAAGAATATTTATATTTTTTTTCTTAATTTTTTTCAGTGATTTTGTTATGATTTTTACTATTGTTTATAATTTTTATTTTTTTTCATGTATCATATAATTTTCCGTGCAAATGCACGGGACAAAAACTAGTGGATAATAATTTTAGTTTATTTTGTTATCAAGGCTTTTGGACTCAAATATTGAACTAAACAAAGTATTATGGTATTGCTGGTATAATTTGAAAGCATTTTGAAGTAAGATTTTTAATTTATTATAATCATATATACAAAAAATACAAAATTTATTAAGTTTTAAAATATGTATACAACTTACATTAGTCAAGTATTTTATAATTTTAGAAATTTTAATAGACATAGAATTTCAAATCTATATAAAATACTCCAAAACATGAAAAAAAAAAATGATATATAAGATTACAAAATACCACAACACGTAGAATTACGAACTATCAAAAGCTATACACATAAACTTGAAAACTTGCATTAATGTATTGGGTAGGATGTGAATTAATTCAAATAATTGTTATCTCAATCTCTCCTTGTATATGCTAGAATATTTGATCATGTGCACATGCACATATGCAAATAAAATTTTATAGATGAAATGTGTATGTGATATTTAAAATTATAAGTTAGATAACGAGTTTATCACATTTTATAAATTTAATCATTAGCAAAAATAAACGATATAGGTATAAACTATTTAACTTACATTTGATTGCAATAATGCAACTTTTTGTATTATTGGCTGATTATGATAAATTAATTAAATAAAACAATCTTTAAATTATTATTGTAGCAATTGTTTATGAAATNAAAAAAAAAAAAAATTACAAAGTTTTCAAAATTGGTTTAGGTTAACTTATTAGTAATAGCAATTTGTATTTTAAATTAGTAATGGTGTTGTGAGTTAGTAAAAATTAGCTTAAAGTTGTAATGAAACAGTTGCTGAAATTATGTTGCAAATCGATTAGGTACGTTGCCATTGATTTCTGGGACCGTTACTGATTTTTTACAAATTTACTGATGTAAATTTGCTAAATAATTTTCGCGAATTTTCCGTCATTTAACTCTTCATTTTCGAGAAGAGATTGAAGGGAATTTGTTGTAGGTCATAATGAATAAGGAGATATGAAACCAATGTTTGCTATATTATTTTTTTTTTTTGGTGAATTGCAATTAATTTATCAGTATCATATACGATTGTGTGATATTAGTCACCATGACATTTTTCTCCTTTGATCTCCGGATATAAGCCGGGGAAGTTTCCTGTTTTTCAGCGTGTTACTGTTGGAAAAACTGGAGGCTTCGTCGGATTATCTCTGACGATCAAGAAACTCGATTTACGATGGAATGTACCTTTGGATTACACAACAAATGTATTTTCTATACGTATATTTTTTATGAAAATCCGACAGTGGAATCTTTGGTAGCACACAATCAAATTTCGATGCGCAATTTGGTAAAAAAAAAAAAAAAAATTTTTACAATCTCGAGATAACGTATAGTAAATAAAAGGTACCATATGAAAAGGCCGAGTTGAAAGCTTCAAAATAGTATATAATTTGTTGAAATTCACCACTGGAAACGGCAACGACCATCAATTTTAGCTGGTCTCCTAACGTTTTGACAAAAAAAAAACCGATTAATTTTGAAAATTTTAGTAACAAACTGATTAGCTTGGAACCTCGGGTACTGAAAGCAAAAAATCGGTATAATTCGAATACCAATCGTGAATTATTCTTCAATTCTTTCTTTTCACTTACTGTAATAGGTCAGTCGTTAATCAAAGACGACTAACCAACGACAAGTACCAAAATTGATGGACGAACTAAATATATGATATGTAAAATGATTAACGCTAGTTGTCTAATGAAAAGTACGAAAATTGATGGATTTGGTAAGTAAAATGATTAATTGAATTGACAGACTAAAAGATAGTTGGCATATATTAAATGAGCATTTTCCCCAACTTTGTGCTTATCTCGCGTCATAACATCCTTCCATGAAATCGTCTTATAGCATCCATAACTGATCACACCACACAGTACACGCAGTGAAATCAGTTCAGAACTCAGAACCATGCCGAGAGCTCCGACCAGACCCGGTCTAATCGGATTTCTTAACCGGATCATCGGCCGCCCTACGCCGGTCATCTACCACCGGCGCCGGTACTTGCAAACCCTAGCTTTTGAAGAGATCAAATCGTCACCAGAAAAGCCCCACGAGTTCACGGCGTTCGTACTCCACGGCCTCCTCGGCTCCGGCCGGAACTGGCGTTCCTTCTCTCGGTCCCTTGCCTCCTACCTCGCCCCCGCCCGTGCGTATATGTATCTACGTGTGTTTTGTTATATCAACATTGTGTCCATTGCCTTTGATTCGTGAATGTTGGTGATCGTGTGGTGATGAAATTGATTTGTTTGGAGAAGTAAAATCCGGCCTAGAACTTTTCATTTCATATGATAATCATATGTGGATTGGGTAGATTAGTGTTAATCTAGCTTCATTAATGCTCTGTAACTGTTGTGCTCATTTTGATGTGTTAGAAATTGATAATGAGGGTAAGGAACTTTCTTTCTCTTACCCATATGATTCTGATTCTTGTGCTTGATGAAAAGCATGGCCTCCGTTATATGCAGAGTGGAGGATGATTCTTGTCGACTTGAGGAATCATGGGAAGTCAGCTGAAATAGAAGGTTTTTTGCCCCCTCATGATATTGAAAATGCTGCGAAAGATCTGTCGGATTTGGTGAAATCCGAAGGTTGGGATTGGCCGGATGTTGTTATTGGACACTCTATGGGCGGAAAGGTAGCTCTGCAATTTGCCCAAAGTTGTGCCCAAGGGCACTATGGAGATAATGTTAGCTTGCCCAAAAAGGTGATCGTCCTTCCAGTAATTAACTTATGATATGGTTTTTCCTCTATCATGAAATATATCTTTGTGCGTGATAATTTTTCGATAAAATGTTAAAGGTGAAATTGTAAGTTATGGTTGGGTTTCTCGGGCATTATCGGGTTACAATAAAGATGAAAATCTTGGCAGATCCATCTTGTTGGGTCGGATGTCTTTCTTTTAGGCTCTCTTGTCCTGTATGGTGTTGTTAGATTTGAATTTTAACTGCCTTATCCACTTGAGGTGGTGTTACTTACTTACTTATGAATTTGTATAACTGTTGCAGAACAGCTATGGGTGCTGGACTCGGTCCCTGGGAAAGTGATCCAAGATAATAGTGACGGTGAAGTGGAAAAAGTTTTGAAGACATTGCAGAGTCTGCCTTCAACTATACCATCGAGGAAGTAATTATTCTTTCCTTGTTTTACAATTATGTAGCAAGGCTAATATATGTTTGCAGTGTTGAGTACTAGGATTGGTGGCCAAAGTTGGAGAATTGGGGGAATATACAGAATAGTGCAATTTGTTATCGATTTCATTCTGCAAAAAAGAAATGCCCCATTACCCTCTTTATTGAAATTGGCTTTTGTCGGCAATGATCGACGAGCTAATAATTGTTGATATCTTTGTGATTTTCTAGCTATACCTTAAAAAGAAATGCCCATTACAAGCTATTTGCATTTTATAAGGTGGCTGGTAGATCACATGCTGAAGCTTGGGTTCTCGAAGTCTCTATCAGAATGGATAGGTAGCAACCTCAAGAAATCGGGAGAACACGTGACATGGGCTTTCAATCTTGATGGGGCTGTTCAGATGTTCAATTCTTACAGGTGTGGATTTTTCATGATCTGTGTCAGTGTTATATTGTGTATAAATGCCATGAACAAGTATTTTGACTATTAAAGGTCCTTGTGAAATTTTGATCTTTTCTAGAGAGATGGACTATTGGCCACTGCTGGAGCACACGCCAAAAGGCATGGAAATTTCCATTGTGCGTGCCGAAAAAAGCGATAGATGGGACCCAGATTGTATAAGAAAGCTTGAACACATTTCTTCTAAGCGTGCAGGTGATAATGAGGGGAAGGTCTCGGTTCACGTGCTGCCTAATGCAGGGCACTGGGTGCATGTGGACAATCCCAAAGGGCTCCTTGAGATTGTGGCTCCAAATGTTGCTTCTGTTGTTTAGATGCGGTTCTTCTGCAATTTGTTTCACGGCTTTGGATTTTCGATAGAGGTAATTGGATTACAGCTCTTTGTGGATTTATGCTCGCTTTGAAGTGCTAAATAATTGTGAATTTAGAGTGACTTCTAAATACCATCAATCATTTAACAAACATATGGATATGATTGTTGTGCCGAACTCCGCCTTTTTTATGCATTAATCGTTTTCGAACATTCTACTTGTCCTTTTTTGTTAAGAAGCATTAATCGCATTAATCTCATTTTACCCCTAGTTTTGGATAAATTATTTCTTGTTAAGGATTAGTTGTGCATTCATCGTCATAAGACTTGAGATTCAAAACTTCTCTATTTTAATGTTGTATTTAGTATTCACTACTGTGAGCTTCTTCAGTTCTTTGGTGAGTTGGCTTATAACTTATTAGTTAGTCTGTAAGATTTTTGTAGATATATAAGTTCGGTTTATTGTGTTGAGATATTCCAAAAAGTTTGAACTGAAGTCTTCATTTTATTTGTTTATTCGACTTAATTGATTAATTTTACCAAATACTGTTATTATATTACCTATTTTATTTTTTTTATTCATTAGCCCTAAATTATTTTCGAAATTAACTTATAAGTTATCAATAAATTTATCAATTATCAGTTTGAAATAAACTTATAAACTATTAATTAATCTATCACTGCTGAGTGGTTGTCTGCCCCGGGCTCGGATAGCTCCCGGTCGATCTCGGACGATCTAGAACACGCCCAGATGCTCGGCTTTAAGCTAAAAACAAAAATTACCAATAAATATTCAAATTTCAGCAATCAAAGAACATAGATAAATTGAAAATGCTGGAAATAAATAAAGAGATTAATAGGAATGAGTATACCCTTCACCAAGTTTTCATACGAGGGCTCGAATGCTACGAATGCCATGACAATAGGTCGAATATGACCAGCCTCAGTCCCCTTCCGTTAATCCCTTAGAAATGATTCACCAAAGAACTGATCGATGGACCCTTGGCCACAATAACTCCGGCACTGCAACCCAGTGGTAACACCAATGGCAATCGCACAAAGCTCGGCCCAAAAATAGCTCGTACACGAAACCCCCAAACACCTCTCGCTAAAAGACCCGACTGAATACGAGGGAGACCCTTACCACACTCACAATCCCCTTATCACAAAGATTTCTAAGAATGGAATAAGGTATGGTAAATTTGACACAAAGTTGAAATGAGAGCGAGAGATGGAAGGCTGCGTGGGAGAAAAACTCAACAGTGTTACCCTACAAAATGACCATCGAAAAGGTATTTAAAGAGGGCAACGAACGACTGAGATCAAGCCAATTAAATAAGAATGGCCAAGATCATGTAGATCAAAATGGGCTGCCAAACTGAGCTCATGCCAAAGAATATGAGAAAATTACCTACTGTATTATTCCTTATCAAAGTACTATTCCTTATCAAAATATTATTGGGCCAAAGAATTGAGAATATTGAGCCTTCGAAATTCATCTCATTTGGCCACAAAATACCAACAATCATCTATCTAAGTAATTTACTTCTAGACCGCCAAATATACCATATTATAATCAAAAACTTCTCTATAGTAGTCCCCATCCATTAAAATTTAAATGGCATGGAAATTTATTTGCCATTCTCCTAATTGCTTATAGTAATATTTAATCGAGGAAAAATGTTGAATATATAAAAAATTTCATTAATTTGTCGTGATTATCACTATAGTTAGCCAAGTCGAGTGAATCACTGTTATCTGAAATTTTTTTACCATTTTCCTAATTGTTTTATAGTAATATTTAACCGAGGAAAAATGTTGAATATATAAACAATTTCATTAAATTGTCGTGATTATCACTAAGTTAGCCAAGTTGAATGAATCACTGGTATCTGAATCTTTTATTTATTTATGTAATCAAAACGTTGACCCAATTACATTCTTAACTCTTAACATAACAAATATTCAAGCAGACTAATTTTCTGTTAAGAAACAAATAACATCCAAATCTTGGTGGACATCCACAATTCCCGTACACAGTACATTTCATTAAGAATTTTTCAACGGTATGCAAAAACTTCATAATTTTTACAGTATTAGCACTCCAAATGATGGCAATCAATAGAAAAATTCAATCACAATTCACACAGTGATCACAATCTGTATGAAACAAACACACACATAAAAAATTTCCAGTTTTAACATTAACTTTCTTCTTCACTTGGATCCAATCTTTTGATCATTCGCAAACTTCTGCTGCTCTTCCAGCTGGGCTTTTCTGTCGGAAAACCTTCCATCGAGCCACCCAACAATGTCGGAAAATACCTTATCCAGATTTTCCGGCAGCTCGCCATAGGACAGAGAGTGCCACATTCCAGGGTACAACTTGAAAGTCTTGTCTGACGAACGAGCTGACTCATACAGGTCTTTGCTCACAGACGGGTCGGTGACTTTATCGTCTTCTCCGTGAAGGACGATGAACGGCAAGGATACCTGCAGTAATTTTATTTAAATAAGTTAAATATTTATTTCATTGGTTAGTTTCAAGTGTCCATTTTATGGTGGTAATTTCAATTTTGGAAAGATAAGAGGAGTATTTTGTAATATTAGATAACATACCTCATCAAGTCTTGTTTCTAAATCCGTGCTGACTTTATACAATTGGGAGGCTGTTTGAAGACGGGGCAGGCCTTTGTATGTGTATGGATTGGATCTAACCTGTTTCCAATTTCCAATTCATGATTATTTAAACTTAAATTATTAAAGTATGTTACATGTGTACGAAAATATACATATATGTTACGAAATGTATAATTGTCTAACAGCTAGGTTTGCATACGACAATCTTATAAAAAAAAATTATTTGACACTATAAGT